AATGCCCCACAGCATGGCGTGGACCATGACCCCAGTTCTTGTCCCTGGAGTAGCCCTTGACGCCCTGGGGTGACCTTTGTCTTGGCCCCCAGGTGCGTGTCTCAGCCCACTGGGCCTGGACAGCAGGAGCCATGCTCTCCCTCTGAGTAAGACCCTCCATTTGGCTGACCAACCTGGTTGTGCCTCTTTGGGTGACTCACAGGGAACTCATTCCTTCTCCCACTGTCTTCCCTTGCCCTGTCCCATCCCCTTCAGCCCAGCCCAACCAGGAGCCCAGAGGGAGCACAGAGCAATGACAACCCGAAGAAAAGGCCAGTACAGTCTGTGGAAGACCGCTCCGGACAACATGTGAGTAGCCACTGGGTGGTGTGAACTCCCTCCCCATCAAGTTTTCCCACCTCATTCATTCAGCCGTCAGGCATTTACTGAGCACCTACTGAGTACTTGCTGCCAAATCAGCCTGAAGGATACTCTTTTGAATAAGCATAGTTTCTTCCTAAAGAGTTCTCAGTACTGAGAGAGTAGGGGGAGGACTGCGGGGGGGAGGGGGGGGGATGGGAGACCCTAGAGGAGGGTGATAGAGTAGTGAGACTGGTATTATTAGGGGACAACAGAGAAAGAGCAGGGAACCCAGACTTTATAGGGGGTATGAAGGCTTTCTAGAGGAAGTGACATCTCGGCTGAGACTTGAAGGATGACTAAGCATTATCCGGGAGCAGGAGGTGGGAAGAAGAAGAGTGTCCAGGCTGAGGGAGCTGTTTGAGCAAAGGTCCAGGAGGGGCCATCCCCTTGAGGAGACCTGGCCGTGCCCCTGAGCCCTGGGCATAGGGTCTGAGAGACTCCCAGCTTTTGATTTGACGCCTGCCTCCTGCTGGGTCTCAGCATGTTGCGATGCCTCTGCTTTTGCTCTCAGCTGGTTCTGAACTTCGCCCCAAGCACAGGGTGGCAATGCCACATGCCCCAGACTCTGCACACTGGGGCAGGGATAGAGCTCACATCACAAAGCCTGTGGCGTAGGCTTCATCCTGGAGAGGAGTGGAGAGAAAAGAGGTTAGGAGCCTGCAAATAGAGGAAGGGCTGGAGCTGCCTGTGAAGCAAATGGAACAGGCAGGCTGGAGGGGGACACAGGGAGCTTGGCACTGGGGAGGGTTCTGCAGCGACACAGGGACAGGAGGGCTTGGTGCTGAGAGCCCGCTGTGTGGGCCTGAGAACCAGGATGGAGAGTTCTTTCCCCAGACTGGGCCTCCAGCTTCAGGAAAACGGCAGCCGTGTGATGTCCCGAGGGGGGTGGTTATGGAGATGGAGATAGATGGTGACCTAGCTATCTGGCATTGGAGGGCTGGGCAAAGATGAAGCAAATGTGGGGACAGGTTCACTGGGAAGGAGGCATCACAAGAGGGCTTTGGTGAGGGAAGAGATGGAGGGGAGGTGGGAGACTGGAATCCTGCTTCCAGGCTGCCAATAGCCCCCTCAGGCTGCAGCCACACATCATCTCCCCTCCTGTCCCCACCCTGGGGTGAGTAAGCCAGGCCATGGCAGAGCATTGCCCAGGCCCACCAGTGGAAGGACAGTGCAGAAGCCCAGCTAGCTAGTGGCAGAATCAACAGCTGATTGTGAAGTGCTCCAAGGAAATGGGCAAGGAGACTGGTGTGTGTGGGGGTGTGTGTGTGCGTGCATCACAGAGATGAGAGGAGGCAGAGAAAGAGACCAGGAGACTCTGAAAAAGCCTCCCACCAGGCCTGATGAGAAGTAACCTGAAGCAAGGAAGCGGGGTGGGGGAGGGCGGGAGGGAGCCACCTGTGCTATGAGCCACTGCTGAAGGCTGGGAGCTGGGGACTGGGACAGGGCTCTGATAACTCCTTGGTTGCTGGTGAGGGACCCCGCCTGGGGGAATGTCCTTGTTTTCCAGGACTCTGGCATTGGAGGGCTGGGCAACGATGAAGCAAATGAGGTAGGCAGATGGTTGGCCCGGAAGCCAAGGTTCTGAGTCTGTCTTCAATAGGCAGGACGGGTGAGTTAGCTGAAGGCCAGGGCTGGGTTGAGAGACCTGGCATCAGCCACAAATGAGGCAGAGGCTGAGGCTGGAGCTAGCTGGTGATCTGCCCCTTACATCCAGAATCTTCCATTGCCCTGTGTGAGGAAAATGCTGAGAGCTGGTGCCTGGAGAGCCAGTCACGAGCTGGGAGTGAGAAACGACAGGCGGGGTCTTCGTAGACTGGTCTGAGGGAGGGGTGCAGAGGCCCCCAGACAGACCAGGGTGGACCACGGATGTGATGATTCACAGTGAAAAAGACTGGAGGATCATGGGGGTGGAGGGAGATAATTGGTTTTCGAGGAGCAGGGGACTTGGAGGGACTCTGATGCTGGGAGAGGGCTGAGTGGGGCTGTGACTGGGAATGCCTGAGAGGTGATACAGTCCGGAAGGACGTTGTTTTGAAGAAAAACTGAAAGGGGATTGTGGGCAGAAAGCAGGGCTGGGAATCAAGGTGACTCCCCCTCCCAAGCAGAGCACCTGGCTCTGCCCAGACAGTTTACCCCCATCCCTCTCCCCAGGGCTAGATCAAATGACCCTGGGAACCACCTTGTGGTTCCCAAGGCACTGTGGTTCCCAGGCTGAGCTGGCTTTTTTCCAAGCGGTGTCAGCAGCTTTCTAGGTGTGCGCTTTCAGGGTCGGAGATGGTTCAGGAGGGAGGGAGAGGGCCTTGGCAGGCCCAGTAGCCCCATGACTTTGGGTAGAGGGTGTCTGTTTTCCTGCTCTGTGCTCTACGGGCCGTGCCTGCTGCCTGGACATGGGAAAGGTGAAGGCAATAGGCTGGCACTCTGGAGCTGGTGAGGGGAACAGGGTGTTGGTGGAAGAGGCTCTGCCAATTCCCCCCCCGCCCACACACACACACTCACTCACATGTGGTAGCACCAAGAAGTGACTTCTAGCACCCAGAGATGATGGGTTGAGGCTCTTCAACACCGAACAAGTGGGAAGAACACACCAGCACATGGTTGTTTCTCTCCTAAGCATGCAGTTAAGACACTATTTTCTCTTATGGAAAGTGAGTCCAAGCTACAGGTGTGAGGTAGCTCACCCTCGCTCATCCTCAATTTCTTCGTCAGCTCTAGGTAGATTCCAAAGGAGGCGGGGAAAGCATGTTTATCATGAACACCTTCCAATTCTACCCATTGGGGAACATGCTTCAGGCAGTACAAAATTCCTTTTTAAATTTGGCTGGTTTTTTTTGGGGGGGGGGGCAATAGATTTCTCTTCCTCATCATATTTTGCATAAACTAGTATTAGAGTGGATTTGCATTTTTGGAGCACAAGTTGGAGGTGTGATGGAGGGGGTTAAGTGAAAGGCATGCCACTCTGGGCTTTAAAAAGTGTCCAGAGGTAAACGACAAGATGGATAAAGCCAGACTGAGCTAACTACTGTAATTACTAGCAGCCAGCATCCTTATAGTCAAACTAAGCCTTGAACACGGAAGCTTCCTTTGAGGACCACTCATATTACAGATGTCATCTCTTACAACCTCTATGTTACAGAGGAGTACATTGATGCAGAGAGCCCAGAGGTGTCTTCGGTACCACCTCCAGGACTAGTGTCTTCATGGTATTTTTTTCAGAGGTCAAAAGATACTGGTGAACTCCAGGCGGCAATCGGCAATCGTATGGGAGTAAGATGGAAGTGGAAATGGCTGGAGGAGAGGGAGGGGGAGACAGGTGCAGATGGCACTGGGCCCACCCAGTCCGAGGCACAGGCTGCCGCTGCAGGGGTGGTGATGGAGAGAAGACACTGGGCGCCAGGAAAATTCCCACGTCTGCAGAAAGGCTGTCTCCATCGCCTCATGGGCAGGCAGTGGAGGGCTGGGTGTACAGGACAGGGAAACAATGTCCAGTTCTCCTCTAATTCCCATCTCTTCTAGGACTCACGAGGATGCCTCCTGGAATTCTTTCTCAGCTTTCCCGAGGGAAGGGGCAAATCCCTTGGGAGTCCAGGGAGGTTTTGCGCCTCACCAGGGAGACTTAGAGCAGCGGTTCTCAACCTGTGGGTCGCGATCCCTTTGGCGGTCGAACGACCCTTTCACAGGGGTCGCCTAAGACCATCCTGCATATCAGATATTTACATTACGATTCATAACAGTAGCAACATTACAGTTATGAAGCAGCAACGAAAATAATTTTATGGTTGGGTCACAACAAGAGGAACTGTATTTAAAGGGCCAGAAGGTTGAGAACCACTGACTTAGAGGGACGCAACCTGGCACTGGGCGCAAGCCAAGCCTACCTGCGCCCTGCCACTCCCAGAGGGGAGACAAGGGGAGGGAAGGAGGGAAAATGGGAAGGAGGGAGGGAGGGAGGGAGGGAAGGAGGAGCGGCGCCGTGGGCGGAGCCGCCGGGGCTCCCAATCCCCTTCTTCCCCCGCCCCTTCCCCGCCCCCCAATCCCTTTCCACCAACCGCGCGCTGTGGTGGGCGGTGCCGGTCACCAGCCTTCTGGTGCAATTCATCACCCCCCTCCCCGGTTTTTTCTCCCGAGTCTCTCTCTTTTTTCC